AACTGATGTCCCAACAAAGTTAAAACCCACTGAGTTTGAGTTGTAAATACGTGTTGCTTCTACCAAGGAAATACCAGGGTTTAGAAATTGGTGAGGTCCACATTTTTCTTCTCTTAATGCATCACGTTTAAGGTTTAGCGCCTGTGCTCCAACAACCAGGAGAAAACTGTACACGCCTGCAGAGAAATCCTAGAGGTGTGTGTGTGTACCTGACAGCAGGGTCTCGCCAGGGTAGAGGTCGTCTTGTAGAAAAACACAATTTCTTTTAGAGAACTGCTGAAGGCTCCTCTTCGCTTGAGGAATCTGAACTGTGGCCAGCAGCCAGCGAGGAGACTCTGGAAATACCGATGCACAGCTGAAGAAAAAAAAAAAAAAAAAACTTATTATCCATCACAAATATCAATAGCAAGTCAAAAGGCTTTGACATCTCAAGCAGCAACATCATAAGTGCTCTAGTCACCATGTTATGGCCAAGTAAGTAAAAATCTGTATTAAAGTGTTTTTTAAACTTGATCTTATGAGTGGGTAAAAATGAGAAATCATAAGGTAGGCATACTCTGCTTTATAGACAAAATATAGACATTGGGGTTATTTTTCTTCCCCATTGCCTTCTAAGCAGTGTACGAGGTAGGAGTTGCCCCCTGCTGGGCATTAGAGAAACATGCATGTTTAAAGTTTTTTGCATTGGCTTCACTTTCCAGCCTGAAAGCTCCATCCATCTTTAAAATACAGTACACTGTTTACAGCTGAGAATTACAGACACGTTTATATACAGTTCCCCCCTCCACCTGAGGTTCGAGTGTAATTAGACAGATTTCAAGGACGTGTGTGGTCCACATCATGTGCTCAGAAATTCAATAAGACTTGAGATGATTCAATTATTGTATTTGTAGTTGGAAGCTGTTGCTGTGACAACAACATGGTGGAAGTGAAATAGTCTCCATCTTCTGGGAGGAAAAAAAAAAATCAAATAATTAAAGAGCAGAAACAAGATCTAAACAATTTTGATGCCGTGTCTAAAATACTTTAATTTGTCAACAGTAAATACAATATTTTTGATCAGCCCCTCAAATATAAGCTGAAAGTCTTAAGTGTTTATTTATATCATATAGCTATAATATGTTCTGGTATAGCTAAGGAAAAAAAAAAAAGTGTCAGCTCCCAAAGCAAAGTGCATATAAATGTAAATACATGTATAAAGTATGCTTATGGTGCCAGACATAAAAGACTCCACAGACGGCTAAATGGAGCTGGATTGGTAAACTGCTTCAGTCTTGCTGCCACAGACCGAAAGGCTCCATCCTCCTCAGCCTTCAGTACGAGAGACGACTAATAGATCTGAGCTTGTTTGGAGTTTATCCATTTACTCTGCATCCAAGCACGAGAATTTTAAAGTTTTGATCTGAAAGTCAAAGTAAGGTGAATAAAAATACAAAATGCTGCAGGCATTTTGTATTGCTTGGAATACTGATAGTTTTATTTTCAAATCTAAGCTGGTAAATATGGCATTTCAGCCGTCTAGCCATGATGACACAAATGCATGAACAATTTTAAGCCCAGAGCACACAATGTTAGTTTTGTAGATTCCCCAAAATAAAATGACACAGCCTCTCCTGAGGCCTTTAAGCTGTTACCTGGCAATGTTTCAGAGCAGCTGAGTGAGTGATAACACTTGTTGTTATAGGGTCTCATGTAAAAACAGTTTGAGTGAGAACTGGGTGTTATCTACTAAAATATCCCAGATAATAATTAAACAAACATGGAGATTCTTGTGAACTCGGGTGTGGCTTGTTTGAAGAGGCTTGAGACAGGAGCAGCTCAACATGCAGGAACGAAGATCGCATTATGTTATGGCGTGAGGATGGCACATAGAGAACTGCTGGAAAAAAAACAAACAGCGTGTCCACCTGTGCACCTCCAATAACGCTACCAGCTGACTCACCACCAATAGGACAGCAGAAGGACTAAAGGCAAAGTGGCCACCGCCTGGAGGACGGGCCAATCGCGGGACAGAACCGCAATGCCTGGCAACAGCAGTTCTGCCAGCACGCCGAAGAAACCACTGACCATAGCAACCATCAGACGATGGGGAGGGTCGCACAGCTCCAACCCTGAGGGGATAAAAAATAAATAAAAAAAAAAAAAAAAAAGCATCAGGGCACAGCTGAAGGAAAGCAAACCTATTCATCCCGTTGCTATGGCAACCACCTCGTGCCTAAAGCACGCTGCGGCACGTCCTCAAACTTCATGTCAGCACAGGTCATGTAGCATGTAAGGGTGAAAGCCCCGCCTTACCTTCACCTGTTTGGTTTAAGAGAAAAGGAAATACCAAATGGAACAGCCAGGAAATTTAAAAGTCCTATTTTAGGTGATTTCAATAAGAATCAGTCTTGTTTTCCTAATTTAAAGTTAATTCCTCATCATCTCTCCTTTGTTTAGTTTTTATTTACACTTATCACTTTCTAAATCTTTGATACAGTCACCCACTCATCCAGGGTTTAATCGGTTTAACTTCTGTACCACCATTAAGACTGCTTTTAAACCCTCATAGGCAGAAAAGGAAGTGGCTTATCTCAAGTGACTCCTGCCATCAAAGACCTGAGCTCCCAATAGGGGAGACCTACAGTCCACCCTCGTGCAAAAACATGAAAACCAGCATCAAAACATAGAATCTGCTCTCGAATTGTCAAAATAAAATTTCCACATATTAAGTTTATAATTTTTATTTTTTTTTTAAAAGCAAGAAGGATGAGGTGGAACGGTTTTCAGTGTGGAGGTGGTCGTTAGGGTAGTGAGGAGCTCACTTCCTGGTTGCCCTGCCTTCAGTCCTGTCCTGCTATTATTTCCTCCTCCCCATAGCACCCCCCACAAAAAAACCCAAACAAAAACAACAACAAAATATTTTCCCCTCTCGGCCTAACCCCACACAGCAACATAATCAGACAGTCCAAGAAAAGAAAAGAAAACAAACAAACAAACAAAAGAAAAACAACCCCAAAACAAACCCTGGAGTGAATTTCGACCTGACCTTGCAGGAATGTGGGAGTACGCCTCCCACATTCCTCCCATTTCTCATATGCATCTACAATCTCCACCTTCGCTCACTGCGAATCACTACCAAGCAGAGAAGTTTTGCTGAAACTCCTGCTGAAGACTGAAAGCTGAGGACTTTTCATAGTGGGGTGGCTCACTTGTGCTGTTTGCCCCACAGAGAGAGAACAGCTGAAGTATGACCGACCTTCACACCTCTTAGCTTAGCTCCAGTCACCAGCCTGGTTTCTTTAGTTACCAATATAATATCCATCTCCAGTGTGCCTGCTACAAACAACTGACGCTATAATTCTAATAATAGAAAAACATCCTGCTCCCCCCCAATAGTCTTGAATGGTAGCATATTTGTACACCTACCAGTCACTGGGTAAGCCTGTGACTGGTACTAGGGTTGCGCCCACTTTTGCCTTCAGGACTGTTTTAAGGCTTCATGACAGATTCAACAAGATGCTGGAAATATTTCTCAGAGACTTTGGTCCAGGCTGACATGATGGCATCACAGATACTGCAGATCTACCACATCCCAAAGGTACTCTGAGGCCATCTGAGTTCAGTGAACTCATAGTCATGTTAAAGAACTGTAGTGACTGGACCAAGTGGACCACGGTCACTGCTCAGCTATTTATTACATTTAGATATTGACATGTCTCTGTGCATTATCCCTTACACTGTCAACAAATCAACTTTGCTCAATCTGATTAATGACAGTCTCCTGCCACAACTTGTGAGCAGGAGAAAGTCCACAACTAGCTGGTGAACACAGTAACATTTAACAACAAAAGAATCAACTAGATATGTAGGCAGGAGGAAAAGAAGAAGACCTCAAGAGGAGATTCATGAATGTAGTGAAGGAGGACATGCAGCAGCAGATCTGCTGTGGGCGACCTGAATGGAGCAGCCAAAAGAGGAAAAAAGAAAGGGAATTATGACCACAATACGTAATGTCTCTGCACGACTTCAATATTTTAGTCTCCTAATGAAATTATATGGCCAGACAAATGTGGAAGTTTGTCTGACGGATGATGTGATTTCATGAAGGTTATTTAATTATTCCTCATGTTATCAGAGGCTTCATGATGGAAGCTGAACTGATTAGATACACTCGGTGGTTATATTTATCTACAGCCTCTCTTTGCAAACTACACAGTTTAATGAATACGGATATTAGAAATGAGCTCAATAACAGTGACGCAGATGCTCCCAAACAACTTTCAAAATAAAATGCTGTCAAGTTTAGCATAGAGTTTGAAGCATGAACGCATCTTAACTAATTTGTCTGGAGAATCAAACATGAAGCACTGCAAACGGTGATCTATCAAAGATACTGCTTTAGACTGAAGGTGAGGAGATTTAGTTTAATGCAATGCTGCAGTATATCCTTTAATGCATGAATTTCAGACTTTACTATGAAGGTATCAAGTCTGATTTCAGGACTCTCCACAAATAAAGATTGACCTGCTTCTGTGGGGACGATAAGGACTTCTATCTTTTCCACTGATAAGATTAGTTCAGCACAGCACGGTGTACAGATAATTAGCTGGGCAAATACATTAACATTATTTAACTTTTACACGACATCAGATTTTTTTCAATAGAAAGACATAGTATCAGGTATCATCGCAATCTCTTGTTCAATGATTTAAGAAGGAAAACAAAAAAGAGAAAGAGACAGCAAGCTGATGAGCACACTTTAAAGTTGAAATCAAAACCCCGGAGAGCGTGTCAGGCTGAGGGATTTTCCCCTCAATGACACAGCACACAGCACGCCATGACAGATGCACAGTAACGATCATGTGCCACTTGTTATTTACCCTCTGGCCTCTTATTATGTGTGTAAGTAAAATGTGAACATGTGACCAGTCCATAAAACCTTTTTCTACTTCCGCTGCCGATCAGTGAGAAAGCTCAACTGCCAGACATCAGCTTTAAAATGTGGATCCAGATTACTTACGGGCGATGTAGGAGGACACAAACAGCCCAGCGAGCGAGGCGCCTTGAGACAGACGCAGCAGCAGAAACACCACCACACTCCTGGACAAAAACAGAACTACACCCAACAGACTGGACAGACTGACGGACAGGAGGAAACCTCGCCGACGACCCAACCTGAAGACACAGACGTAAAACATGTACGAGTGAATCTTCACAGCCTAAACAGTCAACACACACACACAAAAATGATGATCTAATGCAACCGTTTTAAACACATTTATTCTGGTGTTTATGTTCTTAATATGTTATTTAGAGTTTCATACCAACTGAGGTTATTACTCACCAGTCACACAGGGTGCCTAGAAATATGTATCCCAGAATCCATCCAGTCATGAAACAGATATGCTGCACGGGGATTTTCCAGTAGTCACTGCAGACCAGGTTCCACTGCAGGGGAGGAAAAGCAGCACAAACACTGATGAATGTCATGAGTTTAAAAGGAATTGTGAGACAATAATTCAATATTTCAGTGCTCTAATGTCAGAGTTCTTGAACAACACTGTAGGTATAGACAAACCATTTTAGGTACACAAGTTTAACTGCTTGTTAGCACAAATATCTAAATCAGCCAATCACATGGCAGCAATCCATTGCATAGTCATAGTCAAAATAAAAAATAAAAATAAAAAAAAAATTTAAAAAAGGAGAAGAGGGAACTGTTCTGAGGCTGTGATGAGTCTTGATTTCTGTTGCAATATGATGGTAGGGTTTTTTAAAAGCATGAAAGCAAGGATCCATCCAGCCCCTACGAGTTCACACTGGTGATGGTGATGAAATGGTGTGGGGCACATTTGAGCTCTTATAATCAACTGATCATGGTTTAAACGGCAGAGCCTAAGTGAGTACTGTCGTTTACGTCCATCCGATAATGCACCATGCCACAAAAGTCAAATCTTCTCAAACTGGTTTCTTGTACATGACAGTGAGTTCCCCGTGCTCAAATGGCCTCCACAGTCACCAGATCTCAATCTGATGAAGCGTTTTTGGGATGTGGTGGAACAGCAGATTCACATCATGGATGTGCAGACATCACTTCACCTTGGACTAAAATCTCAAGGAGTGTTTCCACCACCTTGTCGAGGACAGATCTCAAGGCTAAAGGGGCCCAACGTGGTACTATGCATGATTATAAAGGTGCTCATGGGTCCTGACAGCGAGCCATTTTCTGGCTAACCAGGTCCATCTACTGTTTGTAGTGTTGGTGCCTTTTAAAAAGTTTGGTAATGATATTTAATGTGTAGTTAATTCTAGCAGCTGTGCTTCCAACATGTTTATGCTCCAGTTCTGATGAGCATTTGCAAGCCAGTTTTCCAGAGGTTTCAATTGGATGAAAAATGAAAAGTGACCAACTAAAAAGGTAAGAAATCAAGCTAAATGCCTACACCACAGAACCTCAGCACAAAAGCTTTCAGTCATACCAATGCAATTATACTTTATGTATAAAACATTATTCTATCAAAGACTTAAAAGGCACAAATTAAAGATGCTCCCAACATGCTGCATACATCATAACCTGACTATGTAGCATGCCGAGAATAGCAGTTGAGTCAAACGCACAGAGAGCCGTCTGTGGGGGAATCAGGAATGTAGATCATGTTGTTTGTAATCGAGTTAAGATGCCTGCTGACAGTGTTATTACATTAGACTAAAGTGCCAGCAGCTTTACGCCAGGTTAGTATCAGAAAGATTCTCATCTACTTTCCCTCCGGCCTCATCTCCTCTACTTTCCTACAGACACCAGTCATGTTTACTGTATTTTACAGATGGATCCAGCTGCACAGTGTAAAGTCAAAGCATCAAAGGAAACAGTGAAGAAAATGAGAAGAGCTCAGAAAGGAGCTAAATGAAAACGACTGACTACGTGAGGTCACTTTCCAATGTGCCGATCACATTTTAGGGTTTGCCTAGGAGGTTCCTGGGGGGATCAAAATTGTAAATACGGCTGAGATAGACTGGTAAGTGGCATCAAATGGCTAATACAGATACGATGCCTTCTGTCCCATCTCCTGGGACAGACTTCAGACCCCCACCCACACTTAACAAGTAGTTAAGAAATCTGATCATCTTGAGTATTTATTCACTTAAATCAACAAGCCAACAAATATCGGTTCTTCTGATCAGTGCGTTTGTTGTTATTTTGAAAATAATTCAGTTTAGACGTGGTACAAAGATGCGCTCAGGTGTGACTGGATCGCTTGACCAACATCATGTGGAGTGAATCACATTTAAAACAGGGGCCAGGAGGGTCATTCAACTGAAGGTGATAGGACATTTGATCATTAACAGCTGATCATTTTTGTTAATCTGTCAGCTGAGTAAGTGATACGGTTTTGTTGTAAACCAGTTTAATCAGGTTCCACCATTCATGGTTCCAGTTCATAGTTTCTTGCTCTTTAACAATAAGATCTTTAGGTGTGATCAAGTTTTTTGTAAATATTTGGTAAAGATTTACAAATTTCATGCAGTGTCAGTGGTGTCCAATTGCACCTGGCCTTAGAATCATGAGTAATTCTATGCAGACCCGCGATAAAGTGCACCCGCACCCCTTCCATAGAAACGAAGAGTCTACGTAGCAACCAGGTGCTGATAATCAAATGCACTTGATTAACTGATCATCAGTAAGTGAGAGTTGTAGCAGTTGCAGGTCTGAAGCGTCAAAGTGTGCGTTAATATGATGCAACAATCTTCCCAGGAATGGACATCCCAGCAAATTCACCACAAGGTCTGACCATTCAATATTCAGAGAGACTGAAAAACAAAAAACAAAAACAGAAAAGCCCAAGAGCTACATCTGAGACTCTACAGGCCTCAGTTAACATGTTAATATTAAATTTCATGACAGTACAGTTAGAAAAAGACTGAACAAGCGTGGTTTGTTTGGAAGTGTTACCAGAAGAAAGTCTCTTTCGTCTAAAACAATCAGCGCTGCACAGGTACTGCACAGGACGGGCACACGGCAGTCGACCATGAATTCCTCTGTACACCAAAGTATTCTAGAGTCAAATGTGAGGCCATTAGTGCAAAAGCTAAAGCTTGAAGGAAACTGGGCCATGCAACAGGACAACTGAATGACTAAGACAAAAAAAATGAAAAGAATCAAGATCCAGTCAGAGTACTGACGTCAACTGTAAGACAGCTGTGCATAACTGAACACCTACAAACCTCAATGAGCCAAAGCAACTCTGTAAGGAAGAGTGGGCCAAAATTCCCCCACAGTGATACGAGAGGCTGATGAAGTAATGCCTTTTTTGTATTACTTTGAGTTAAAGGTGGTTCCTCAAGCTATTGAATTATGAGGTATACATAGTTTTTCCTCTTCTCTGTTCTTTTTCACATGACTGCGTGAAATGGTAGTAGTGAAAACAGTGTACCAAATGCTGGTTTATAAAATTTACTTAGGCTTTACTTAATCTCACGATTTACTTTTTAGCAATTTTAGATGAGCTTTATCTTGCTAAGTTAAAAAGAGGACTCTTCTATTAAAAGTAAAGCCATTATGTCAATATATGTGCTGAAACTAAGGTAATCGCAGTAGCACATATATTTTTTTCCCCAAAGGAGGAATCCACAACACAGATAATTTCTATCAAGGTTTCAACCTTCTCCTGGAGTTTTTCAGTCAAAATAAAATTACATTTTGAGGGTATACGGGACACAATTGTCTCTCTTTGCTAATGTTTTTCTTCCCACTGGCTCTTGTTGTTAGGATTTCCTAGACAGACTTATTTTCCAGTTGAACTTACCGTCACTTATTTCAAGGCATGCAATGCCGACTAACGGCACATGAGAAGACAAAGAAGGAACAATGATGTGAATTAGACATGTGATCCGATTTACTTAATCCAGGTTACTGGAGCAAACATGAACTGCTTGAACCTTTTGATCAGTCGGTCTCCTCACCGACTTCCAGCTGCCTACAGAAGGTAAAAACTAAACTGCTCCCTGTGCATTATTTTATATAGGAATATCATCTGGTGCCATATTTGCTGCATGGTCATTTGAACAAACGCAAACTCATTTTGAAATATGCACTAAATAATCAGTGTGATTGCAAAAAAGTTGCATACAAATTAAGGGCCCTTTGGAAGCCTGGACCCTGCAGGGTAAGCTCCCCACAAACATTAGTGGCCACAAACATGAACATCTGTCTCTAAACTTTATCAAGTTGGTTTATAGAGGAGAGTGCTGGACAGCTATGGTTAGTGACTGTTATTCCACCCAGCGCCTGTGTTGTACTCTGCTCAGTTTTTCCGTTACTGGAGGGGTCCTTTGTCTTAGCGAATGACGACATGAGTGGAGGAAGCCGTTGTGTTCAGGGTCTCAGGAAGGAACTGGGGGGGGGGGGACTTCTAATTTCCCACTGCCACAGTTTGTCAAACAGGCCTCATCACTGGTAGTTTGTCTCATGATAAGGTACGATACACAGATGATAATCTGAGAACAAGCTCATGGGCAATTACCCATAATGACTGTGTCCTGCTCGTATACCCCCCCCCCCCCAATCAGCTGCTACAACTGTCCACATTTTGATATTTGTTTTAAGATACTACAGCACAAAACAGATGTAGTGTGATTGTGTAGGGGTGTAGCACAGAACTCTGTGGGCCTCTTTTCCTTCCCAGATCCATATCTGTCACGCATATGAGTTTTTTAACAAATGATTGAGCTGTAAACAACAATCTGTTCATTAGGATGCTAATAGTGAACTGTCCATGAACCACAGTTAGCTAAAAACATCTATGACGTGTCCATACGTCTGCGTAGTTTGAAATCTCCCATGTCAACCCAGATGTCTTAACATACGGAAATCTGCAATTAAAATTTGTTTTTCCTTGGAGTACTAAGCTCTAGAGTGTGTCGTTTTCTTTTTTTTTTTTTTATTAAAGTATTTATTATTCCAGGACAAAAGAAAAAACAAATGCAATCCTAGTTTTGTAACACTTTTCTAAAATGCTACGTCTTCCCATTATCCTCTCTCCCTTTACTTCCTCATCACATTCTCTTGCTCACACAGGACTGACGTGAGCCTCACACCGTTTTCAACCTGCCTGTTGATAAGGCACCTCAAGCCAGATCACCAAGATCGTACAGTAATACATTCTGTCAGAGGTGTCCTTCTAAAATACAAACCACGTGTGCTGGGAATTTACCCAGTGGGCTTCACGCTAACACAGAAACAAACAAATTATAGGGCTTGGGCATCTCTCCGAGCACCATACTGGAATTGCACCATACTGGAAGGGTATGTTTGCTCATTCTATGAAACAGTGGATAAAGGGACTTGGTGCTGGTCTGGAAAGACTAACGCACACAGCTAAAAGGAAAGCAGAAGGTGTTTGTGCACCTGGAAATTATGCACCTGCACTCATCTGTAAATTAATCAGTTTATGCAATTCTATTTTGAAATAATGTATTTGATTGGTACGTCATTTGTTCAATGTTAATGAGTCTCTGTGCACCTGAATGATTTTTTGTTGATTTAGGACGCATTACTGTGGTCCAGGTGTTCATTTAAGTTGTTTTGCATTTGTTTTAATGAAATTGTGCCTGTATATTATCATCATATCATTATGTAACATGAGGTTTGTTGGTGTTCCTTTGGTGAAGTTATACAGCAGGACATACAGCAGACAAGTCTGGATGATTTACAACAGATGAAAACATTTGAGAGTCGTGCCAAAACATGGGTGTTGGCAGCCTGCCTCACAGTGCTTCAGCAGAAGTAGCAAAAGCTAAATGAATGCATCCATTGTCATCCACCTACCTGCAAGCTTACGTTTAATTATTTTATTTAAAGCAGCGTCACTGTGGGATTTTAAGATGCCACGTCATCAGCTTGAAACAACGTAGCTTCCTTAAAGTGTCCTGCTTACCTCGTGGCACACTGGTTAAGAACCACTTGTCCAACATACAACAAAGCAAATTAGTGTTGCTGAGCTCTGAGCCATATAAGCTCAGCTTGTATTACATGATTTGTAAAAAGCACCGCCTGCTGCTGCTGTGCTCTCTCCAGCTGTTTCTGAAATTAAGGACTGCACGTTTCATGCTGTTAAATTGTGCTAGGACTCAATGGTGGTAAAGGAAGAAACTGGGACTGCTGTGGAGATCCACAGCAACAGGTTTATAAAGAGGTCAAATTAATAATGAGCAGAAGTGAGTTCAGCTTATAGATGTGGTCCTCCACAACAGTCCCAGTTTCTCATGCGTGGGTCGTTCTGATAGATTTAGGATCACATTTGACATTAAGCTCAACGCCTTTAACAGAGGCTTACGAATTCTCCTTGGAAAAAACAAACAAACAAACAAACAAAACACCTTGACAGATAAAGGAAACTAAGAAAAATACATTAAATTTAAGCTTAACCTCCTAGGACCTGGCGTCCACATGTGTGGACATAACATTTTGGGTTGTCTAGACCAAAACACTAAATTTTGCTCAACAAGGGCCTGATATCCACTTAGGAGGACATTATACTGCCACTGTTCCATTGAACTGCAATGTCCTCATGTGGATCTCATTTTTCTCAGAAACAAAAATTGGGTTAAAACAAAACAAAACAAAACAAAAATCTGGTAATTCTTTGTTTTTACATTAATCAGGTCCCAATCAGCCCAATTAGCAAAGAGAAACTAAAAATGCATGCCATGAAAGAGTTCAGGTGTTAGGAGGTCAAAGTCAGAGTTCACGCACTGGGTTAAAAGACAGTTAAACCCTGCTTAAAAGCAAAAGTGCATGTAGGACTGCATATTTAAGTGCCAACCTGCTTTCTTGGAGGCAAATTATCATTATACACTTCTTATATGAACTATGAAGCAGGTATTTGTTCCCTGGCTGGCTGGCCTCTCATCTTCGTTCCCGAGAAGCCACGGCAGATAAACGACAGTCAGTAAGACTCAAGCCAACAAGAAAGTGTTAACAGCGAAACAAGAGGAAAAATTGACTGAAAGCTGCCCAACAGCCGTGTTCATGACACAGCGTGCCTTTAAGCAGACAGAGCAGCTCATCGACACAAGGCCAGAAATGAGCGCGTGAAAGGAAACGGCTTCACCGGGTAAGAAAATGTAACCCAAACCCACAACCTGTTGTATCTCTGCCTCCTAACTCCCCCACAGATCTGTATATTAACACCAGGGCTAAACGTGCGTCTTACCTCAGTGACAAAGTTGCTCTGGAGGCCCGCTACATGAGAGTACTCCCACCCTGTGGTGCAGGGCACCCTCTCTCTGGGCACGTTCTCGGAGAGGTCCGAGGAGTTGGGGGGGTACTTATAAAGTTCACAGTGGCTCCGACCGGAGCCGTTCACCCAGGGGATGGTGAGGTTGAGGTATCCTTGTGTGGAGAAGTTGCTTAGAAGGAACGCGGAGGGCAGCAGCGTCGGGTCTGGCTTGCAGTGGTACCAGTCCGGGATGAGTGTGTAAAACACGTCGCTGAACAGATTCAGCGTGACGGCGAAACTGGGGAACCAGCTGAACACGACCACGATTCGGTTATAGCGCCCATAGCCGCCGGTGTGAGGGAAAACCTTAGTTTCATAATCCATTTGAAGTCGACAGCTCGTGGCAACGGACGGTCCGAAGACTTTTACGCAGTGAGAGCGCACAGCCGCACGACGCTGAAGCAGGCAGGCAGGGGGCGGATCTTAGGGTAACACAGCCCCGGGGATCGACTTTTGTGACACACCTGCTACTTGGAGACTGTGACTAATTTCAGGGTAATCCCCAGACAGCGGGAGTCCAGGGAGCTGTCAGTAACAGTCTTTTGATGTCTCCATGTGACTCACAGCTGGACTTGACATGAAGACAGCTACCCTGGTGGAAAGCTCACATTAATTTACAAATTTAAACCTCTGTAATTTCATCGAAACGCTTAACTCACAGCTATTTCGAATTGACTGTTTAATTTTACAGAGGTACACTTTACTCCACTTTGAAAATCATCAATATTTGTGCTATTTATACAATTTTACACAATATGGCTCCTTAACCACTTAGTGTATTATTAGACAGGACTGCATTGGAAGCGGGCTTATTTTTTCAGCCTGAACTTGCTGTGCAACAGTAGAACAGAATATATGTAATACTTTCAAACCTCAGTTAAAAAGATTCATAATTAGTTTTGCCAGCATTGGCTTTATTCTGCTATTGCTATGTTGTTTCCCTGTTGTACAGGTTTTCTGGTAGTTTTTTTAATGTATTTTTTTCTGTTTTTATTTATTTATTTTTAAATAATATAGATATTATATATATTGTTTTGTTTTTAAGATCAGTTCTGAGACTATGGATTTAAATTGGCATATGGCTAAGTCAACTGCATTGGAGTGGTCCTCTGCATTCTTTTATACACCAAGCAGTGTTTGTGACATCAAAGGAAAATGATTTGTTCCTACACAAAAACATAAGATTATGCTGGGTTACACAATGAACTGATTTAAAGTTCGTAAGATCTGAAATGTTAATATTTCTTTGAACCCATAAAACACAAAACTGCACTTTGATGCCTGCAGTGAGGCACATTTAGAAATGCCTTGCACTTCTTAGATGGGATAAATTAACACAAACATCATTGATCCTATAGTTGGGAAATTCTTCTTTTGTTACTTCAGTTGTTTACTGTTATCTGAACAGCAGGAGTAACATGTGGGAGAAACATCTGTATTGATTTAGTCTGGTGACTCATAAGACAAATAGGCTTTTTTGCCTTGTGACTGTGCAGCTCACCTTATCAGCTGCAATGAAATCCATAAATAGGTGAGGCAGTGTTATGTAATCTGTTAGCAGACAGAAGTCCTCTGGGCATGAGTTAAAGGAGGGCTGGTAATTAAGGTAAAAAATCCGATTTACACAGAAATATTAAAGTTGACTCTGTGGACTCTTCCAGACTATGAGTTTAACTAAATCACGAAATCCACCACTAGATAATTCAGACATTTAGATCGTGAAACGCTACAAAGATTAGACACCAAACACGTCATCCTGCTATCAATAGAAACACATCTTTGGAGTGAAGACGAGCGGCTAACCAGGACTCTAAACCGGCCTTTTGGGTTGTTTGTGCAACTGCTCTGCCTTAAAGAAAACAGACATACTTGTTACCTTAAACACTTTCCTGTTAAATTTTTTTAATGGAAATTTAAAAACTGCCATTTTTTAAAATATTTTTTAAAAAATGCTGATATTATTCTGTACTTAACTGGAGCTATTCAAATATGAAAGGATATTATTTATATATTTCAATGTAAATGTTAAAAACTAGATGTGACAAACCATTTTAGTTAACTAAAAGCTTTAGAAATAAGTAAAAACTAAAAATTTTGTGATCTTGGAAAATGTCATTATAATAAAAATGATATTATAGATATTATTTGACCTTAGCATTTGTTAATTTAGTAACGATGAGGCTGATAAAGATGCAATCTGCCTGATGAAGCTTTGATGGACATATTTGACATTTTGCATGTCTCCAAGTCTGTGAGTGGACAACAAAGATTTTACAAAATCCTGCCTCTGACATCCTCCACAGAATAATTAAATATATGAATTCAAATAATAATTAAATGAACAATCTAACACTGAAAAATAAAAAACTGAAACTCATTATTTTCAAAGAATAAAAACATGAACTGAAATAGTCCAAAATGAAACAAAAAGGAAAAAAACAACACAAAACTACAATATCCCTGGGCAGCTCTATGCAAACACAAAAACCAAAATGCAGAGAACGGCTGGTAATATTTCAAAATTTTATTAACGAACATAATCTCTGAGGAACAACAGCAGTTCTCGCGCTCTCTGTACATGCAACTGTAGAAAATAACAATTTAGAATTTTTACTTTTCAGTTTTAGTCTTTTCCCCCCCCCCGTCCATACTCATTTTCAGTTTCTCTCTTTTTTGTTTTTGCTTTTTTATTAAATTTTTTGTGTCTTTTTTTTCCACGTTTAATTTTTTTTTGTCACTTTTTTCATTTTTTTTTTTTTGCAGGAAATCAACAACAGCTAGAGGTGAAAGTACTGGATTTCTGTTACAGCACTGACGATAGCATCAACAAACCCATCGTGAACCAACCCTCCCCCCTTTAGCTGCTCCATCAATATGTACACAAATAAACTACATTGTACAAATAAAAAAAGAAAAAAAAAAGAAAAAAAAATGTTACATTGTTACATCATAATCACCTGCAGCGAGCGCGACACGGCCCGTTGCTGTTAGAACCCCACATTCTACGCAATTTTTCAGACTAGTACAAAGAGGAGGGTGCAAAACGTCCTGGGAGGTTTTATTTACAGAGCTATGTACAGTATGTCTCTTTCACGCATTACAAGGAGGAAAATTTACACAGCGGAGACCAACTTCAACTCAAAACATACCACAGGTGCCAGAAAAAAAACAAAACAAAAAGAAAACAAAATAAATGATAATAAATAGGTTATTTCTCACCATTTAAAAGAGTAGTTCTCCATGCTTTTTATTAGTCATAATCCATTCTAAAAAATAAAATAAAAAGGAACAAAGAATTTAAAAAAACAAAAACAAAACAAAACTAGAAAAAACAAAAAGGCTTGAAATCGTGATTTTACATAATGAAACTAAATCATGTATATTTTTATGTCCAGTAAGAAAACACAACAAGTCTAAAAACAAACTTTATGAGCGAATGTGATTAGAGTAGAGGTAATATGTTGCTGACTGAGGTGGTGTCAGGCTAGCATCTGTATCACCACGGCCAAGAGCTCTACTATGCATCTGCTGTGTGTCTCTGTATCTTAGCCGAATATTCACGCCGGATGATCAAAGTGAATGGATGTGTGTTTGGTCTATTGCTCTGTGCAGCTGGGGAACGGAAGGGGGGGAGGGAGATCACCTGTCGGCTGTGTCGACCATCACCATTTCAAGCCTTTGTAGGTTGTTAAACATACGAACGATGGCAGAAGTACGAACAAAGGCAGGGCTATAAAACTGTTTTTATGTTTTGTTTTTAAAAAGAAAAAAAAATGTAAAAAAGGAAAAAAAAGAAAGAAAGGTGCCACTCAAAACGGAAACGCTCTCGATGTGTTGTAAACAATAGTGAGAGGGTGTCGGTCAGGGCGTTGTAGCGGTATACATTCTGCTCAATAAGCAACGTGATTGACATGCCACTGGTTTTTATACAGAACAGAACCCCTCCCCCTCCCTCCCCCAAAGATAAAACACAACAACATTCAAAGCTACATACACTTTTTGCTAAAAAACACACAAGGATTCTTGAACGAAAGACACCCCTGACCCTCGTCCCCAAAACTGTAAGAAACCAACAGTAAAATAAAAACATGAGTTTTAAAAAACAATTTTTTAGACTTTTTGTTTCCAAACATATACCAAACCAGGGTGTGTGTGTTTGTCTCAAAATTAAAAGAAAAAAAATAATACCCAGGACAATACATCTAGCCACCTTGTCTGCACAGTGTAATAGCAACAACCATTGCACTTGACTAGACATACCATACACAGCTATGCTGACTGACAGTGTGTAAATAACTTAAAAGTTTAGGATCAGAATATTGCCATCAGGATACGTGAGCAGCTTTCACACACGAGACCGTGTGCGTGGGGCAGGTCGGGAAAGCTTTTCAAAACCCACTAAAAACAGAGAACCAATACAAGTCATCACAAATCAACGGTTCAATGGGATCCTTTAGTTTTTAAAAGTCAGTCTATTCAGCATTAACCTATTTCTTCCCCCCTCCACTGCTTGTGTTGACGTCTGTTCACTTTTTGGTTTGTTCTGAGAAGATTTGAGTCTGGTAACCTGTCTCCTCGGGCCTGACACAAGACACCACACAACTGAATAATAACAGGAAGTAACCGAAACATTTAAAATCCCTGACCACACTAGCCCCAGCCCCTTGTAGGATAAAAAATAAAAAGGAGGACAACGTGACTTGGTTGTTGAGCCTATTCCCGTGATTTTAAGTGGGTGTTGTACTGGAGTCCTAACATGGAAATTAACACCTTTAAAATCTACTTTAAAAACACCCGTCTAAGTGGAAGGCCTCAGGTCTGCTGAGCCATGAATAAGTGTTTTTCTTTCTGACACACTGGCACCACCTAGTGAGTAAAAGTTGTAACAGCACCATGAAAATAAGCTGCTCACCAGTACTGTGACTTAAGGGGCTGACAGACTGACAGTGTTTTTAGGAGTCTGTGAGGAATGAAAATGTCTCTGCGGCTGTTACAACTCTTCAGTCAGTTCAATGTGAAGTCAGACACTGGGAGGACAGGACGAGTAGTGAAGCGCTGAAAGACCCGTGTCTTGTTGGTTTTAGACGGTGACGTTGTGCGATGATTCATAAAAAAATTAAAAAAAAATCCAATTTTTTTTCTTTAAATTAAAAACAAGCGAAATAATAATTTCAAACAGTTCTACACTCATATGGTTTTGCTTGTGAATGACATCTCTCTTCCATCCCACCCATATATATATATTTATTTATATACTTCTGTGCGACTTTGCCCAACAATGAGTACATTTTTTTTCACTGAAAAAGGCATTTTCTTGGTTCGAAAATTTTCAGATATAATTGTGTAGTAAAGCAATGAATAATAATCCTCTGTCT